GTCCAATGTGCTTTCCTTTGAGGTAAGCTTGAAATTATTAAAGTGACTTCTGGAATCATTGTTTAATGTTGTTAATTTGGTCATTTTAGTCTTGAGTTTCTTAATTTACCTTAGTATGGCATTATTTTAATTCACTTCCAAAACTTCCAACTTAGAAAATGGTCAAGAACAGATTTGAATCCGATTCAATCCTAGCTTGTTAGACTAGTTAGATTTACAAGTCATTCTTCTAAATAATTCCCAAGGTTAGAAAAATTTTCTTTCTCCGTGTGTGTGTGTGGGGGGGGGCAAATTTCATTTTAAATATTATGTAATCATTTGGAAATAGTATGATTCACTTTGGACTATTCAACCCAGTGGAATATGTACTTACGTTTTAAGTAACTAAGTTTCCAGACTGTAGATTGCCTAATTAAATAGGACATCTCGAATGGCTAACTATGCCCCTTCTCTCATATTTCACAACACTTGTTCTCTGCTACTATTCAAGACTCATCTTTTAATAACTTCAAAAATTTTGCTGTCTGCTATGTTATGTAATTCCCCCATTCTTAAACCCCAATAATGTTATCTAAAGATCATTTAAGTTCTGTTTTACCTTCCTAGAAATTTTCATTACATGACTCATGAGCTTTCTCCCTACCGTTTCCTTCTATTTTATTATCTTGAAGCTCTTTCAACACCCACACAAATTGCCCTTATAACATATATGTTGTAGAGTTTCTTAATTGACCCAATTCCAATGTTTTTAATCTCTGTTTCCCTTAAGTTAACTATGGGATGGCCATATGTTGGAATCCACCATAAACTGGAATTGTTTCAACTTTGAATTTTGAACTCTGATATTCCTCGTTCAGATCATAATTTCACTTTAGGCCACTAATCTCCCATTTATCCTTTTAGTAAATATTTATTGAGTGCCTATAAGATACTGAACTTCAAGTACTCCTTTTAAGGGAGGACTAGATGAAAAAAAGTCAATTCTGCTTTTTGTAAAGTACTCTAAATGCCTCCTTTCTTTATTTTCACCTCAAGTTCTTTACTACTCCCCACTGCATGTTATTGTGTTACTGCCCTGATACTAACCTCATTTGCTTTCCTACCTCTAATGGGCCTCATGGTACATCATCTCAATTGCAGTTTAATCTGCATCTTCAATTCTGGCTTTTCTTTTTTAGTCTCTTTTACTATTTCTTCTGACTTTATTTATTATTATTATATTTTACAATCAATATTTATTTACATTTATCTACATATTTATGCCTTTTCTTGTTCTCTATTCCATCTTGCTTTTGTTTGGGGCTTCCCCTTAATTAATTAATTAGTTAATGAATTTCATGCAGGTCTGCTGGTGATTAATTCTCTGTTTTTGTTTGTTGATTTCTGACATCTTTATTTTATTTTCTTTATTTTATTTTCATTTTCATTTTGGGAGGGTATTTTTGCTGGGCATACAATTACAGGTGAGCAGTTGTTTTCTCTTTGCACTTAAGATTTAAGGCTGGAGTCTATACCTGGTCTGCCCCTGCTCTTAAGGTGTTTTGAAAGCCTATGGTGTTTATAGGGGCTTCCCCACTGCCAGGCACTAAACTACAATGATCCATATCCCATCAGCATCGAGAAACTTCTAAAACCTCCACCTATAGGTAATTGTAAAGACTTTGGTTATTACTAAGTGTGAGATGGGGAGATGGGAGTTTGAGAAGAAAAGTGACATGCATAGTGAATTCGCTGTTTGCTGTGGTAAAACTAAGAGAGCAAAGAGGAACCTGGCAAGACCAGCTAAGAGGCTATTGCAGAAAAGCTGGTAAGAGATGAAGGTGGCATATAATTTCTTATTTGACTATTGAAATGACTTCCAAATGGCCTCAAATCTTGATCAGCTCAAACTGTTTCTCCCTTCAATGCCATAGTGATTTATTTCTAAAATTCATATCCAGTGGGGTCACTTCTCAGAGTTTCCCCATTATATATCTTTAGGTAAAAATTCAAATTCCTTACCAATGAATAAAAGATCATATCCATGCTCTGATACCTGCATCCTCTTATCCTAACTCTTTCTTTTAGCCAGCGTTACGTACTTGAAGGCTCAAATCTCACAGGTTATGCCTGGCCGGTGTGGCTCAGTGGTTGAGCATCCATCAGTCTTTGAACCAGGAGGTCACGGTTGGATTCCCAGTCAGGGCACATGCCCGGGTTGCGGGCTCAATCCCCAGTATAGGGCATGCAGGAGGCAGTCGATCAATGATTCTCTCATCATTGATGTGTCTATATCTCTTTCCCTTTCCCTTCTTCTCTGAAATCAATAAAAATATATTCTAAAAAGTTATATTTACAAAAATCTCACAGGTCATAAAACCTCATAGGCCCTTATGCCTTGGCCCATGTTTTCTTTCTTCTTGAATGATCTTTCTCATCAGCTTTCTTGCCTGATTGACTCTAACTCATCTTTAAAGATCCAGCTTAAGGATCAAGGATAAGAGAAACTTATCTTCTCTTGGAAGAGTTTCTGAGTCTTTTCCTTCCCCATTCCAAGATATAAATGAGTATTTTTGGTGGATTCAGTACAATTCAATAAACATTTATGGCATCTAGTCTCTGCCAAGAACAGTTTTAGGAGTTGGAGAATCACAGATGAGTAAGCTGAAGTTTCTGCCCTCAAAGACCTAGTTCCAGAAGAGAAGACACATAAATACTTAACGGTGTTATAGTGTGATAGTATAGCAGTTGACAAGTATGATCTTGGGAGGAGGGTGTGAGTGAAGGATCCTTAGAGGAAGAGAAATTCCTGTTGATTTTACAGAATAAATCAGAGTTTATCAAGCAGACGAGGTGCATGGGGTAGGGTCAATACAAGGTATGCAAAAAATTCATACCTGGAATGCCAAACAGCAAGGTGTAGGGAAATTAAGAAAAATTGATATTTGATAGCTAAGATTTGGAAACAACCTAAGTGCCCATCGGCAGATGAGTGGATTAAAAAACTGTGGTACATCTACACAATGGAATATTATGCTGCTATAAAAAAAGAAGGAACTTTTACCATTTGCAACAGCATGGATAGAACTGGAGAGCATTATTCGAAGCGAAATAAGCCAGTCGGAGAAAGATAAATATCACATGATCTCACTCATATGTGGGATATAATGATCAACATAATTTGATGAACAAAAATAGATCCAGAGAAAAATGGCAGGGAAGGTGCGGGGTGGGGGGGGGCAGTTAGAGAGCAACCAAAGGACTTGTATGCATGCATATTAATATAACCAATGGACACAGACACTGGGGTGGTGGAGGCTTGCCCAGGGTGGGAATGGCTGGGGGCGGAGTCAATCGGGAAAAAAGGAGACATATGTAAAACTTTAGACAATAAAAAAAAGAAGAAATGAAAAAAAGAAAAATTGATATTTGAGTATAAAATTTAAAAGGTATGTAATGGGAAGTGAGCTTGAAAAGATTGGACAGACAATCATTTAAGATCTTATTTCAATATATACCTCCACTGTGGTACTTTTCATACTGAAAACCATTGGTTTTCATCTCCATGTCACCACCAACGGGCTCCTTCAGGGCAGGCATTAGGTCTTATTTATTAATCTTTGCATACGTACACCTACCCAAGTGTCTAAAATGTGGTGGATACTCATAAATGCTTATGTTATTAATGTGGATCCTTTAAAACTTTTAAAACATTATTTTACATAAGGGTATTATTTGGTACATATCTATCATCTATCTATCATCTATCTATCATCTCTCTCTCATCTCTCTCTCTCTCTATCTCTCTCTATCTCTCTCTATCTCTCTATCTATCATCTATTATTTTACATAAGGGTATTATTTGGTACATATCTATCTATCATCTATCTATCATATCTATCTCTCTCTCTCTCTCTCTCCCTCTATCTCTCTCTATCTCTCTATCTATCATCTATCTTTCTCTCTAACTAACTCCTGGGTTAAGTCTGGACATTATCAGCTCCAAAGTCTAAGTATAAAAATAAAATTGAAATAAAATACAATTAATTAAAGATTCTGAGTAAAACTAAATTTAAATCTGATATATAGGGCACGACATATTCAGTGTGTAACATTTAAAAAATAAAATGTTATTAAAGTGCTTCTCAGATTTAAATAACTATTATTGAGAGACAAGACAAATGAATGGAATGAACTAGACATACAGCTTTCCCTAGAGCAGCGGTTCTCAACCTGTGGGTCGCGAACAATGAAAATACATCCTGCATATCAGATATTTACATTACGATTCATAACAGTAGCAACATTACAGTTATGAAGTAGCAACGAAAATAATTTTATGGTTGGGGGTCACCACAACATGAGGAACTGTATTAAAGAGTCACGGCATTAGGAAGGTTGAGAACCACTGCCCTAGAGTCTGTGTATGTGCTGTGTATATCTTTCCATTCATGCCTATTTCCTTCTTCTTCTTTCTCTCTCACAGCCCTGGACACGAGATGGAGACATTTTTACAGCAGAAAGTCTTAAGAACTCTGCAACTCAGCTGGGTAGGGCAGGTAGTCTTCTGGGTCTCTAGACTAGAAGACTATCAGTCAACTTTTCAGCCCTAGTGTATTCTTGCCTCTTGCTTTCCAGTGGGCATTTCCAGCCACTTTGGAAAGTAGCACATACAGTTAGAACTGTCATGAATATAAGGAAAAAAGGAAACATAACTTGAAAGCAATCATTATAATCCACAGTAGTAATCTGAGGAAAATTGCAATATCTAAATCACCTACTCTTGTGCAAGATCTGGCTAACTGACTAGTTACAAATGAAGAAATAGGAAGAGAAAATTAAAAAATTGTCTTTTGAATAAACACACTGCTTTGTCTCAAGTAGTTTTGCACATCTTTTTTTAAAAAACCACTCGAGCTTGTTTGTCTTTTCTTACCTTTAAAAAAATGCCTTTGCCGCGGAACCTGCTAATTATTATGGTTTCTCCCAACATCCACTCCTTTCTTCCCCTCCTCCTTTAGTTGCTTTTTGCCACATATGTCGCTCCTTCGGCCACTCTTGACATTGGACTCCAGCAGCAAAAGAAAAAGGAAATTTATATGAAAATACAGCCACCGTTTGAAGACCTTTTTGACACAGCAGAAGAATATATTCTCCTCCTCCTCCTTGAGCCCTGGACAAGGATGGTACAATTAGACCAACTTGCCTACAAACAGGTATGGCGACACTGCTACATTGTGTGCGAACCAGTCGGGCTTATTGTAAAACTGATGATAAGCCGCATGGTTAACTCACACGAAAAAAACAAACCAAACTGGAAAAGGTCTCAGTTGGGCCAGGGATTCAGAATTTTCCTGTCGTCTCCTAACAAAACACTGACGTCGGTGTCGTTTTTAGCTCTGTGCGCAAATGTGTCAGCAGAGATAACTCTGACTTTGGGTTTCCTGTGACCCAACAAAATGTGCCACGGTAATATACTGGCTTTGTCCCTTCTTGCCATTTTCAGCGGCAGTCTTAATTTTGATTAATGGACAAAGCTCGTTCAATTTTATGCTGGATGAGTTACAGTAAATATTATACCCATGGAGAACATAAACATTTCACGTGTATTGTGGAAAGCACATTCTCTGGCTTCAGCGCTATTGTCAAGCGCACCCAGATGTTCATCAGGTCAGGCTGCTTGATTGGATAAAAGTTTCAACACATCTTTTTTCATCCCAGAAGAGGTCATGTTAACCCTTCGTGCTGGAATATTTTCACTCTTTTTATTGACGGGTGGAGGAAATTTCTTTAAATATTTATTTTGAGTCACAAATGAGAACCATTCATGGGTATTTTTTATATTAAGTTAATGCATGTGCCCTGTACACGTGGTCATTTCAGGTGGGACTCTGGTATCTCTGTGTTGCTATTCTTTGTTCGTATCTCTTCCACAACTTCTTAGTCATGTCTTCCACCAGAAAGGATAGCTTAGGTAATTAAAATAAAATTAATACCGAAACACCTTGGATAGAGTTATCTTATTGAATTGAAACAACCCTTATGGCTTACTAAATTCAGTAACCAAAATAATTAAAATTTTATTTCTGATTTTCTCTTTGTTTTGAAAACTTAGCATTGCAACCTTTCTTCTACAGAAACACATAGATTACACTACGAAAATTAGGCTATCGTATGAAATTTTTAAACTATCTCTCTAGTTGTTATTTTAAATATAATATAGGGTGTAGGGGGAAATGGACCTGAGATATGGTCCTGAGATGATAAAGACTTAGAATTATAACTAAATTCCCTAAACCAGCGGTTCTCAACCTGTGGGTCGCGACCATCGGAAAACTTTAATTATGTTCAATTTGTAACAATGAAAATACATCCTGCATATCAGATATTTACATTATGATTCATAACAGTAGCAAAATTACCGTTATGAAGTAGCAACGAAAATAATTTTATGGTTGGGGGTCACCACAACATGAGGAACTGTATTATAGGGTCGTGGCATTAGGAAGGTTGAGAACCACTGCCTAAACCAAAAGGTTTTGGCATTGGTAATGATGCGCCACGCCAGCACAGCCAAGGGTGAACATGAGGAGGGTCGGTGAAGGATTAAAGCAGACAGACAAGAGAATACAGCTGGGGCTCGGTGGATCTCTTGTGCCTGGATGAGGACACAGAGAGACCCAGCCTGCAAGCCGAAGCTTTATTTTATAGTCAGAGCACACAGAGCAAAACAAGGGAAGTGGTCAACATGTTTACAATGTTCTCGTGAGTTTCACCTTGTTTTGGCAGCACTTTCTGCACCTCCCACAACCCATTAGCTACCTAGGAAGGAACTAGGGAGGACTAGAAGGTTAAGTTTACTTATGCTAAGAGGGCTCTGCCCTCCAAGCTGGGACTTGTTTGTGGCCCTGCCACAGGTCAGTCCGAGGCTTAACCCTATAGCTGCTTCCTATCGTAATGATTCTTATAAAAATGTATGGGACAAATAATGCTACCTAGGAAGGAACTAGGGAGGACTAGAAGGTTAAATTTACTTATGCTAGGAGGGCTCTGCCTGCCAAGCTGGGACTTGTTTGTGGCCACAGGTCAGTCCGAGGCTTAACCCTATAGTCACTACCTATAGTAATGATTCTTATAAAAATGCATGGGACAAATAACACATTCTTTTTAATAAGAGGAAAAATAAATCTCTCTTAATTCTAGACACATCCTTAAATTCAGACTAGAGATGTCTCTAAAAGTCCAGCTGACTGGATTATGTAGACTCTTTCCCAAAAAGGATAACCAAGGGGACTCCCAAAACTAGCTGTGAAATACACAACATTCTCAGTCCGCCAAACTGATTTTTCCCTGCGACAGAGAATGGAGAGTGGTCTTGTTCTCATGACTATATAAAATAGTGCAATAAATATTCTGAAGGCTGAGACTACTAAGGAGTTTAATCGGACGATTAACGCTCTCCTCTTGCTACACCAATAAAACCTTTGCTCACAGACTGATAACAGTGGAGTCTGGTCATTTCGTGTTCTATGGATTATGTGGCGCCTAACGCTCGTAGTGCCTGCCTTCGTGACTGTTATCCTGTTATAATGAATAGAAGCTGGAAATCTGACCCAAAATGTTTCCATTATTTGTTAGTTCACAAGGGGTGTCCAGAAAGGAGGAAGATTTTTGTTGGCACTATATCAGCAATTTTCAATCTTTTTCATCTCATGGCACACATAAACTAGTTATTTTCTGCGGCACACCAAAAAATAATTATTTCGCCGTTCTCACAAAAAAAAGGTGTAATTTTGATTGATTTATAAAAGAAAAAGTAATAATAGCAATTACTGGTTCTTCTAGCTCCAAAGTGATTTTCAAAAAATCAGGTGCCTATATTTGTATATAAGGATTTCTGATACCAAGAATTAACCAATGAGGCACAACATTCTTACGCAACATGATCAATGACATGCAAGTCTATCATGACTTATATATTTACTAGAGGCCCGGTGCACAAAAATTTGTGCCC